ATATATATTAACATCCTTTATAACTACAACAATAACAACAACAGCAACAATAACAACAACAATAACACTGCTTACACTTCTAACAACCAGAAGAGCCATGACAACAATCAAAATAATAATCAATCATCACTTGAATCTGCTACTGCTATCGACGTTACCCCATCTACCGATCTTACATCACCTATCGATGTTACTTCACCTTCTAATACTGCTGCTGTTGACGATAATGGTCAACAATCGTCACAAAAAGTCAAACGTAAACGTATCACTCAAGATCAATTAATTGACCTTATGTCCGTATTTGAAAAAACTGACACTCCTAGTTATGATGTCCGTGAAAAATTGGCCAAGAAATTAAAAATGACAAACAGAGAAGTTCAGGTAATATATCGATTGATTGATATATATATGTGTGTGTGTGTGCGTGATTAATTATAATAATTGTAGCAGTTAATAATCAGTGGTTTTTATTTTTTTTACAATTAAATTTTCATATATAGGTGTGGTTCCAGAATAGACGTGCAAAAGCTAATCGTGCAAAAGCAAATGAACATAATGCTTCTCAACAACATCATCGTTTCTTACATCATCATTCGGTTACTGCTACTCATCATACTGCTAACGGTCATCATGGTCACCATCATGCTTCTTCTGCTTCTTCATCTTCCTTGAGTTCTTCTGTTGTAAATCCTGGAAATTATACCTTCATACATATGTTTACAAACGGCTCAAATGCTTCTTCAAATGGTGCTTGTGGTTGTTGTTGTTGTTGTTGTTGTTGTTGTTGTTGTTGTTGTTGTTGTTGTTAGAATAAGATGATAATTTTGATTTTGATCTTTTGCTTTGATGTTGAGGAACAAATTGGTGAGAATTATTATAATTATATTGTTGAAGATATTGATAATCATTGTTATTATTAGAAGATTCTTGGCTGATATTATTATTATTATCAATTGGATCGTTGTTATTTATAATAATAGATGAGGAAGCAATAGCGGGAGAAGATGACGATGAAGAAGATTGATCGAGTAATGCAGACATTTTTTAATTTCGGTTTTCTTTTGTCAGCTAATAAAAATATAAATAATCGTTAGATGGTATGTACGTGCAAAAATATAATAGATATTATATATTTACATATGTGGTACTATATCTATTATCTATCTATATATATATGTGTGTGTGTATGAATGTATGTATGTATGTAAATTTTTAAAAAGTTTTACTTACATTTGCTTTAAACTTGAGGAATGCTAGAAGAAGAAAGAGATGGATGAAGAAGGACTACCAAAGTGCTTTATTGTAGACGATAAACCAAGAAGAAAGTAGTTTTTGTAAAGAGAATATATATAATATGTATATATATATATATATATATATATATATATAGTATACGAGCAATTGTGAACCAGGTTTTTTGTAATTAGATATAAAGTAAACGCACACACACAATAGAGAGAAAATTAAAAATAGAAAGAATCCTACAATCGTTTTTAGTAGTTATTAGGAATAAAATAAATAATAATTGTTAGAAGAAGAAAGAAGTGTTATTATGATAATAACCAGAAAACAATGAGAATAATAAATAATTTTTTTTTAGGAAAAAAGAAAAAAAATCTTAAAAAAGAGGAAAAATGATTTTTTTTTGATTTGAAAATTACTCTTGAAAAAAAAAAATAATTTTATTTATTATATTTTTTTAAATTGTAACAGAATAAAATAGGAAAAAATAGATTTAATTGGAATTTTTAATTATCACACACTGCGTGAAATTAATTAATATTATTAAAAAGTCAGATTAAAAATTTCAAAATTTAGATGTGTTGTAGTAGTACACAAACAAAATCTAGGAATTATTTAGCAATCCTATTACGTTTTTTTCATTTTATAAATAAAAACCAAAGCAGTTTTGGAAAATATTTATAACAAAACTCCGAAATAATCGCATGGAATAAATTTATCAATGATAATTATTTTCGTAATTGTAGTTATAAAGGATGTTAATATATATAGTACGACGAAAAACAAAGTTAAATAGGTTTTTTTTGACATTTGAAATCATTTATTATTTTGTTAGGAATTTTAGGAAAAAAAAAAAAAGTTTAAATATAATTAAATTGTATCACGTTAAATTATAATGTTTTTTATTTATTTATTACTAATTTTAAACTATTCTCTAAAAGTTAAAATTTTCATTGTGTGTGTGTATGTATGTGTGTGTGTGAGAACCTGCATGGAGACAAGTGTGTCATATGTGTGATATCTGTTATATATTTATGTGATAACTAGAAGAATAATAGACTTCTTATCGAGCATATGGCTGAATCAAAGAGTAAAAAAAAAGTAAAATTCAAAAAGTCTATATCAATAAAAGTCAATTTAAAAGTCAATCAATCAATCAGTAGTCATCATCGTCCGGGGTAAATCAGTTGTATATATATGTGTGTATATATATATATATATATATATATATACAATTAATTAACGCCATCATCATAAATGATTTTTTCATATACAATTTAAAAAAAACGTCCAAATAAAGTACAAATTACTTAAAATTATTTATTTATTTATACTTTTGATATCATACAATTGTTATATTATCTATTATATTTATTTATTAATTTGGTTATATATATATATACAGTTTCTTAATTAGGATATGTTTATAAATGAAAATGAAATTGAGAAATTGATTTTTTTTTTTTTTTAATTAAATATTATCCCAATTTAATTATTATTCTAACTTTAATAATTATTTTAACTTTTTGACTAAATTATTCTTTATTTCATCATCGTTTCTATCCGAGTATCTTGTTCGTTCGGAAAAGTGTTAATAAATAAATATAAATATAAATATATCCAAATTTGTCGTTTTCATTCAAAACAATTTTCTTTAATAAGAAAAAAAAACCAAAAAAAAAAAAAAAATGGAATTACTATTTTACTTTTTTTTTTTTTTTCTTTTTTTTTATATAATAAATAATAAATAAAATAATAAATAATAAACGAATAATACATCATTACCATATAATTTGGTTAAACACTAATCAAAAATAAAAAATTCACGATTGTCGTTATTGTTTTCGTTGTTTTCATACACAAAGAAAAGATCATCCAGAAGAATAAACAAATAACGAAGCATAATGGTTATTATAAGTAGTAATCGGTGGGCGGATGAATTGTAGTAGAATGATTGTTCCATTTGGTTTGAGAGTATTAATTAGGTTGGATGTCAATTAGGAAGTTGCAATTAATTAAAGTTTTTTTTTTTTTAAAAAGTAATTATTATTAATTAATTATTTTTCAATTTGGTAATGGCAATCAACTAAAATATTAAGACTCGATTTTAGATTTGGGCGAGGCTAATTTTTCATACAAAATCTTTAAAAATAAATAAATATTCCTAAAAAAAACTTCAAACCCTAATCTTTTTAAAAAGATCATCGTCGCTTCTTTTTCGTATTTGTTCAAATTTCCATATTCGGTTCAATTTAAAATTCAAAATATCACGTGACCAAACAATAAATGATGCGCTGAAAAACAATTAATTTTAGCATTATGCATGCTTATGTGTAAATACATAATATTTAATAATGTTTTTTTATTATCGTGAATATATTTGGTTAAGCTAGTTCAATGATAGAGAAAACCAAAAAAAAAACTTGATTTTTCGATTTTTTTTAATCTTCTCTTTCTTTCACACACTCTCTATACACATAATCGAACACTGCCACTTTTCAACAGTTTGTATCACACTTAAACATATGGGGCGAAAAATGTTAATTCCACGCATAATATTTTTATAATGGTATTAAAGAAAGCAACACCGTTTTTACTTTATTTAAAATTTTTCCGAGCTAAACACGTTAGTATTAGTATAAAAATTCCTTTATTATAATCATTATGCTTGTCACTACCCATATCCTCATATATCCATTAGCGTTAATTGCTCTTTTAATTTTATCGTTAAAATTGGGGGTTTTATTTTCCAAAAAGCCATAGTGTGGCACACAAATAATTCATCAATTAATTTTAATTACTTTGTATGGTAATTTATTAAAATACCAACATAACACAACAATCAGTATACTAATATAACTACATCATACATATAATTAATTGGGGTATACTGCAACAAAACAAAAAAACAAAAATGTGCACTTTAATTCGGTTCATCGACGACTGTACAATAATAATAAATATTTGTTTTCTTTATGAAAAGCAATCAATTAATGGTTGTTTTTAATCCTTAACCGTAATAATAAGAAAACTATATTCAAGATGTACCTTATGTGATTTAAATAAATCTTTTGTTTTTGTTTGATTGGCGTCAAAACAATATAAATAATCCTTCATCTTGTGTCTGAACATTCATTCTCAGGAAAAAAAAATCAAACTACAAATCCTTCCAACATATATTTTTTTTTCGTTTAAAAAATCAAAAATAATAAAATTATTTATAATGCTTTTTTTTTTTTTACAAATAAATAATTTAACTAACAAAGATAACAAGTGAGATAATGGTGATGTTAAACAATTTTGAACCCTGAAATCCTTGGTTGTACAAATGTTCACACGTATGCTTCCAATTATTCTTTTTCACAAGCTTTCCCCAGAAAAATCACAAGATGAACCAACTACTTCTGTATGGATTATAATCGATGTTTTTCCATGATTTATCTTTATTTCAAATCCTTTGTTCTAATATTATTAATATTTTATGCATCATGTACTGTATGTTATTAAGGATATTTGAATATGTAATTTGAAATTTATATGTTGCTAATTTTAATTGTTAATTGTTCTCTAGATTGTTAATAAAAATTGGTGTCCTCCTCATTTAAAAATTCTTCGAGCCTTTTGTGTACTCATTTTCCTCTATGATTCATTCGTTTTAATTAGTTCTTTAAGAGCACTGTCTAAGGAATCCATCGTCACACGAGTATGGACGATGGATATTAATACATTTATGGAAACCATTCTTTGACATATTCATTACTGAGCGCAATTATAATTTCATTCATTTTTTTTCTGTTTCATGAAACAAAATTGATAGTGTTAGCGAGTTCTTTTTTCTGTGAGAACTAAATATCTAGAGTAACTCGTTTATTGGTACGAGCAATTGCAATATTGTTATTGGTATCGTTTCATAGTAGTGATATCGCAAATAGTAAGTGGTATCGTTGATAACAGTAAGGGTATTCACTGCCTTTGATATAATATTAAAATTTATCTTGTACAACAAACACACTGTATATTTTTTTTTCCTCTGATAGAGCTATTGTCTAAATCTATTAATATTTTGGAATACCCCTTATTTTGTGACTATTCATTATATGCTGTGTATTAATTATTTAAATCCATTATTATTAATAAATATGTGGATTCTAAAATTGAGGAAAAAGACATTTGATAAAAATTTTCTTCCAGGCCTTTGATTTTATTGCAAAAGAAAAATGAATTCACGAATTTTGACTTTTTGTTATAAATTTTCCATTCGTATAATAGTTTGACAATAAAGGTAACGATAAAACGATTTATGTTTGATTTTTTGGTTGTTTAATTGTTGCGAATAATTGAAGACTGGCTAATTAACTTTTCTAGTTGGTATAATTCAACTAAATTCTATTGTATCATCTCCTGCATTCGTTCATCATCAACTCATTCTTATGGTTATTTCTCTCTCGATAATGCTTACTCCGCCTATTTAATCTATCAAAACAAGTAAAACGAGCAGAAATTTGCTTTAGAAAATATTTCATAATTATAGAAGAGCAATCTTTGGAAACATACGATTGACCTTATCCAGATATCTTTAAATTGTAAATGTCGATGTGAAAGGATGAACAAACGAACGAAACCACTTGCAATACTTGAAGTCCGTTAATTCAACAAAACCAAAATGATTGAAGGTTCGTTATAAAACTTTACTCCCCGTGTTCACTTCTTATAAAGGTTTGAAATTGCAGATGAACATAATTCTTTTCGACATTATACGATCCAGATTTTTTTCAATGCTAGTTAATCACCTTCGCTTGAATCCCCCCTTTTTTTTGCATCCTCGCATGCCTTTCTCTACTTAAAGACCTCTTATTTTCAAATATTAGAAATCTAGGCCTTTTGTGCACATAGTTGCAGATTTTGATAATTAATAATAGATAAATTAATAAAAAATTTAAAAATTTAAGATAGATATATCCTCAAATTTATTAAATATAAATATTTCCTTATGGTTGCAATGTCGATAAACATCAATTGTTGGCACGTGTTTTTGAGTGTACACAACGATGGTGTCAAAAAATCATTTCCAATGATTTGTAATTAGCTTCGTTATGATCATAACAAGCCCGGCATTGGTAAAATAGTTGGAAGTTCTTTGTTTGTTTTGCAATGAAAGTTTGATGTTGTTTTGTTTTTGTTCTTATTGAAGATGAAATTCAATAATCATGTTTGTCGTGTCTAATAATTAATAATTTTAATGAGTAATGATTTTAATGATAATTTATCTATTAAAAATTATAATAATCTTATTTTTTATACGATCTTGAATCTTCGTTTGATTTTGCAGCCTTACAAGGAGCAGGTTTAATTAAATTTTTTATAGGTTCTTGAGATTTGGTTTCTTTAGGTCATTACCATCACCGTCCTCATCATACAATACAATACAATTAATATTTTTTTACCTTCACATAAAATCACCACATAAAATCTTTAATTCCACACCTACATATTTTTAATATAAAATTTTAACAAAAAGATTTTATCATCCAAATAAAAAGAATTTTTTAAGACTTGAAAAAAATCAAAATAATCATGCATGGTAGTACCAAAAAATGACAGATTATTAATATTTTACGCGTACTACTTCATTTTAATCTTTAAATATTTTTTCAATTTAGTTTTAATATTCCATTCGAATTAGTGCGTTATTCATTCTGTATATATATGAATAGTTTTTTTTTAAAAAAATGTCATTTGAAGTAGGTACCATTGTTTTCGTTAAATTAAAAGAATTCCTTTGGTGGCCTGGTTTGGTAAGTTTTAAATCATCTTTATCCAAAAAAAAATCATGTATAGTAAGTAACAGACAATCAACACATATGCGTAATACAGATCGTAAATGATGAGGATTTACCCGAGATTTTGCTTAAAAAGAGGCCAAAGAGGCATGATTTTGATTGCATTAAATTCTTTGGCTCAATAAACTAGTACGTTTCATTTATATATCTATTGTAATGATAATAAATTCCCAAATTTCAAATATAATTAATTAATTTATTTATCAATAATTATAATAATAGTGGATGGATTAATGAGAAAAATCTTAAAATATTCACAAAAAAAGAAGCAAATGATCAAATAAAACAAATCAAAAAGAAAAATCATTTGGTCAGAGCTATAAAGCAAGCATTGGAATATTTGTTATCAGGTACCACCACCGCCACTACAACTTCTGCTAAAATTAATAATAATGTTAATAATGATGGTATTAAAAAAATAAGAGGTCACAATAACAACAACAATAATAATATAAAAGAGAAAAAGGAGAAGGAATTGTTAGGCAATAATCCGGTCCAAAACGATCGAGAAAATGTTGCAGTTAATAATAACAATGGTGGTGGTAGTAGTGGTGATAATGTTGTTGCTGGCATCATCAGTAAAAATAGTATAAAAAGGCTAATAGACTATGATAATGATGACGAAACAAATCAAGAAAACAGTAGTAAACTTGTTAAGCGACATAAAAATAATTGTAAAGATTTCACTATTCTTTCTACTAGTAATGTTGCTGTTTCTACGTCCATTAATTCATCATCATCGTCGTCACCATCAGTTCCATTATCGTTGTCAATGTTGTTATCATCATTTTCATCCCCATATTCATCCTCACCCTCATCAACATCCACATCTCCATTTTCGTCCTCATCATCATTGTCGTCTTCATCTTCATCGTCTATGTCATCATCGTCTTTGTCATCCTCATCCTCATCCTCATCGTATTTGTCATCCTCATCTTCATCTTCATCGTATTTGTCATCCTCATCCTCATCCTCATCCTCATCCTCATCTTCATCTTCATCGTATTTTTCATCATCTTCATCTTCATCGTATTTGTCATCATCTTCATCTTCATCGTATTTGTCATCATCTTCATCTTCATCTTCATCCTCATCGTCATCCTCATCCTCATCGTCATCCTCATCGTCTTTGTCATCGTCTTTGTCACCCTCATCCTCATACTCATCGTCATCATCATCATCCATTGACATTAGAATATCGGAAAATCTTTAACATGGTAATTGATGAAAACACAATCAATACCGTCTTATCACTACTACTATTATTACCTACAACACAAATTATTTGATACGAACATAATATTATGAATTAGATTCACATTAGGATTAGGAACTATTTTCAGAACTAATAGAATTTTACAATTGATTATGTATGGTTTTAAATTTTATAATTTTTTATTTGTAAAAATATATACCTTAAGTATATATTATATGGAGCATTATAATAATAATAATAATAATAATAATAATAATTTACATAAAAATTTCAGGGTTCTAGATTTTAGTAACCAGTTATAATGGCAATTGACTTTTTTTAATAAAGGAATTTAAACATTAATCATGGCCCATTTGATAATGCTACGATTATGTCATGGCAACAATCAAAAAAGAAATAAAATATAGGAACCTGTTTTTACAGGAAAAGAGAATGGATTTCAGAATTTTTAATTTAAACTAAAGAATCCATCAGGACTATACATGTGGTAGAAATAGATCATTTGACTCAATCAGGTGACTTTTTGACGCAATTAATTGAGTCATATGAAAAACATATAAATAATTGAGTCAGACGCAATTAAAAATTGGGAATTGAGTCGAAGCCAAATTAATTTTGATAACATGTATAATCAGGACTAAGTTTAATTTGACTTGGAACCATGTGACTTTTTATAATTTTAAAATTAAAAAATGATAGATAAATGGCAATTTTAATAACTCTTTTTTAGTAATAATCGTATCATTCTTCACTTCTAATCGTGAATCAATAGGTTTGTAAAGTTACATTATGAAATTAATATTGTTTAAGCAAAATATTTCAAAGATTCAGTATATGGAATGTTAGTTACCTAAATCCTAAATTTTTTTCTAAAGAAAAATTTGTACTTGCATGATAATCTTCATTCAATAATAATAGAGAACCTAAAACTAAGAAGTTTGGAAAACCACACTTAGAAAATTGAAGGCCATAACAAACTTTCTCAACCTATCCCTAAGACTAAGTGGATGGCACAAAGATTACAATATGTTATTTATTGATTGGAAATCTTCAAGTGCTTATCTATTGAATTTTTTTGCGAGTATCCAGTATGGACTACAGGCAATCCATTTGCAAGTACCATAGAAGAAGAAACTAAGGAAAGTCTTCAGAAGTTTTCCGAGAACAAATTAATGACAAGGATCCAGAATTTGTAGACATAATAGACAATATGTATGAATTTAAAAGTAAAGTATATATTTAGAGGCTGATGGATTTTTAGAATTTCTTGAAAATCTTGATGCTATAGTTAAATATATGAGGATCGCCTAAAATTCTTTGATACATTGATATGATAATTGATATGTTGTACTGTAATCAATCATTTAATACTTTAATTACATTTCTAAGCAATAAATATTTTTTCCTTTTATCTTCAAATTCTCTTTTCTCTTGCGACCCAGACATACCTCAGTTTTTACAAACAGTTTGATGTTTTTTACAATATGGTGTACAAGGAGTTGCCTTACATATTGGACAGTGATGTTTTGTCAGTGTGGTAATGCCTCGTTCTTCTCGATTGTCTCGATTTCATTGTCGATGTGAGAAGACTCTTCAAAAAATCTCTAGCATCGTTGAGCTCCAATCACCAACTGTTTTGACCAAGAGATTAGCAGGAGTACTTGCAAAAGAAGTGGACATTTTTTTAAAAATATCTTGATAAATATCTTGTGTGATGATAACTTGTAACGCTATTGGAATGTTCCAATGTAGATCTTCAATTGATATTGACCAATAAAATTCGTGCGTGTGACTCTGTAATTGAAATTTCATTGGTTAACTTCATTGGAACCACATTTGGAATGTTCCAATTCCAATTGGAATTTATTATAGTGCTCCAATGAAATTTTATTGGAAGCATAAATGGCACAACACTGTCATCTGTCATCCAGTTACACGAAAAATTCCTAAATTTGTAGAAAAAAATATGATTGGCTAAAAATTAACATTGCAATCATTGAAGGTTGATATTCCTCTAGAGAAAATTGTTAATTAATAATTTATTGTAGCGGCCAGAATTTTCAAAAAAAAAAAAGGATAAATATTTATTAGGAGGTTCTATTGTAATTACAAGAAAAATGTTTACCAATAAAGTTATCAGAAATGGGAAAATTAAAAATTTTGATATAAGACAAAGCAGTTAGCCCAACTGTTGATGAGATTACTGATAGAAGGTTCTATTCTAAATTTAAAATAATCTTACAAACATTAAGCCCAATTTGTGCTAAAATATATTTGGTTGCATTATCAAATAGTACAGTGCAGGACATCTATAATGGTCAATAGTCCGAAACTTAAAATTTTAGAAGATCTTTCTAATTTAAGTAATCATATTCCTTTTATTGGAAAGATTGTCTGTATCACGGAAAATTTTTAAGCCGATCATCAACCTTTTAGGAAACCACAAGGGAATATCATTCCGAAATTTTACAATTTACATATAGACATATATAAAATGTTCTAACTTTCAAGCCTTATAACTCAAAACTTTTCTAATAAAATGAAAAAGTAAACCGATGGAAATGAAGCTTAGGTCTTTAGCTTTAATTTTATCGGTTTATTTTTTTTTTTAATTTTTTTAATAAGGAGTTATAAGCTTTTAAAATCATGTGATAATCATTGACCGTTATAGATGTCCTGCACTATAATAATAATAACGATCATAATAAAATGCCTAAATATGATAGGTCAATATTGCTTTGTAACACTTGAGTACTCGTATGAGTGCAGATCTTTCTATTAATAGCATGATCTACGAGTACTCACGGTACTCATACTCATGTTACTCATGAGTAACCTATTATTATTATGAGTACAAACACTAGTTTTATCCGTTTTATCCATTTTATCCGTTTTATTTGTTTTATTTGTTTTATTCATTTTATTCGTTTTATTCGTTTTATTCGTTTTATTATTATTCATTTTATTCGTTTTATTATTATTCATTTTATTCGTTTTATTCATTTTATTCATTTTATTCATTTTATTCGTTTTATTATTATTCATTTTATTCAAATTATTATTATTTGTTTTATTCAAATTATTATTACTCAAATTATTTGTTTTATTCAAATAAACATTTGAATAGAAACCTAACTACTACTCAAGATTTTTAGCACAAAGAGCTTTAGAAATATTTAACCAATAATTTAATTACAATACAAAAGAGCTATTGGTTTATTAAATTAATTAAAAAATAGTATTAATTTTAAAAGAATATCTGATAATTTCATTCAATATTTACTAATAGGCTTTTAGACTATATGATAAAAATATTAAGAATATTATTAACTTATTGGTATGCTAATACCTTGATTATTTTTTTAAAGAATAATCAGATTCTGATATTTACTGATACCCCATTACCCAATTTGGCATCATTTGACCAGTAAAAAAAGAACCAATAGATTATATACAAGCAAAGAAAGATGGGACCCTAAATTAGCACAAAAGAATTTTAAATCATGTGCAAGTATAACAGCCTGATTGCTTGACTTACTATTTAATCATTTCCTTGTATGTGAATGCCTCCATCCATCGAATATTCACAATGGTCATGATTATTATGTGATACATTTGATATCATCATTGACATCACAAACAATTGCATCATCCAGGTAGTAATAATACTAAGGCCATGCAAAAATGAAACTTTTAATAATGTGTGTCTACCCAGATCTTTGGGATTCACAAAATAAATTATTTTTCCTGATTATCAATTATGAATAATAAATCTGATGTTGATTGCAGGTGTCAGATTTAATTAAAATTTTCCTGTCACAAACATGCAAGCGTTGTGCAAAGCACCCTCCTGCACTGTGGACCTTTTTTCCACAAGTGAGAGCAACTTGGACAAGTTGGAAGGCTTTGGACAAAATTTTCCTTATCTTCCTCTCAGACCAGGCTTGACTGTTATCATATGAGCATTGATCACTGATAGCTGGTGCTTGTGTGATGATTGCTTTGTGTTATTGCCACACTAGCATAAAAGTTGGTATCTGCAACAGGTTCAAAAATCCTGCACCTTGGGAGGTTACAACCTGGGTTGCTGTTTTAGATTTTCCCTAAATTTAGGCACATCAACATGCCAACAACCCTACCCCGTTTAAACAACAAGTTCAGTTGGTCAAATAAAGTTTAGAGAAACAGAAAATTTATGAAAATGATTAATTTATAACATCACATACCAAAATCCAAACCATTTTATGACTTTTTCCTTATTGGCCACATTGCTGACAAAGATGTATATAAACATACAATAATTTTAACCTACAGGACAGGGGGACTGATTGGGCAAAAACCCAATCCAGTCCCCTATCCAAAATTATTAAATTGGTTAGTATCAGAGAAACAGAGAATTTAGGAAAGTGATTATACAAAACAAACACTATTTTACAACTTTCCTCTTAACATCAGAGCCCAGATGCAATTTCCGGGTCACCAACCCTGCTCTGGATTGTGACCCCTGTGCTTGAAACGAGTTGCAGATTCTCTTAATATTCCTCCAGAGTTGCGACATGATCACAGTGCCACCCTTACCCTAGAGGTGGGATCGTTGCAGGCAACTTTTCGGCCAGCATGCCAGCGGCCTTCTCTGGTCTGGGAGGATAGTGAAAATGTCATTGACGATTGATGCAGTCTTGGTAAACTCCAGAGCTTTGCGCCCCCCCCTGAAAATTCGGTAGCATCATTGTATCATCTGGAGCACCGTGGTCAGATTAGCCTTATGTACACGAGGAACGTGTGTGAATGACTGTAAAGTGTTCAAGGTAGCGTGCGTGCTTCAACACCTGTAAATTTCCGATAATCAAACATCGCATATCGAAATGTTTCTTTTTCAATTGTGTGCTGCCTTGATATCTTGTAATTATAATAATATAATAATATTATTAACGATTACGAAAAACAAAATATTATCAATGAAAATCTTGTAATTACCCAGCAAGATCTGCTCCGCGTTTTGATTTCCAATTAAAATGTTTATAATAACCAAAAATGTCAATCAATACAAATAAAAAAAAGTACCTCTGGTTAGTTATTAACACGTTTTCTTTAGGAGACCCAAACCATACCAAACAACAACATTCACGTTTTGTCATCTTGGACTCTGTCAAAAAATAAATTGTTTTTTTGTTTTTCCGAAAAAAAAAAAAAAAAATCAATTTGCGTCTGTCCTACCAAAAAAAAAACCAATAGGATAAATAATTAGTGTGTACGCGTCAAATAACAAAATTTTTAATTTCTATTTTATTCAAAAAATTTAAAATGTCTGGTAGGGCGGACAGAAAAAGAAAACAAAAAAATGAAGAAGAATTCGAAAGAGAGTAAGTGTTTTAAGGGTGGTGGTGGTTATCGCCCGCCACTCGTCGTCACTCTAGTTATATAGTGTAAATGAATTATATTCTCTGTAACTAATATTGTTTTTTAATTTCATTTTGTTTAACACCAAAAGAAAAGATAATGAAGATGATGATATGGAAGGTGTTAGTAGCAGCAACAATAATGGCAGT